ATGCTACCTGATGATGTGGATCCCGACAATATCGATGAATAGTCTCAAATGATTACAATTTGCATCACACCTAAATTGTGCCACATGCAATACATAATTATGCATATTATTAATATTTGTTTTACTTCTACTATTGCATGGATTCGTCGTCAGCCAGGCGTGCTATTGGTATTACTTTATTGGAATTATTGTTGATTTGTATTTAATCTCTATTTTAATATTCTCAATAATATAACTCCTATATTTCTATATCAACTTATATATATTTACTTTACATTTTGGTACGAAAAATTTTGGCGTTGTTAAATCGCAATGTCATAAATTTCTCGTGATCACCGAATGAACAATTATATCAAACTTTTTGTATAATTCCAAGAATAATTACACTGTATATGAAGTGTAGCAATTGGAACTTTATATCATACTTAATCCACTGTACAGTAATTGGACGATATGTGACCCATTTACATGTAATATAACAATGCCAATATAGAAGGAAATTAAAATAATAAGTATATGAGAAACAAATATTACTTCAATTCTTATTTCTCCTTATATATAAATCCCTTATATTTTTACAAGTATTTTTTTATTGTTGATTTCAAATTATTTTTAATGTATATAAATATTTGTATAAATAAATATATTTATATTTATATAAATATGCATTTATTGTATACAAATAAAATATTTTAAAGATATTAAACAAATAAATTTCTTTACGTGTCTAAGTAATACGTGCGAGAAGAATTATCCCACACAGCTTTTTTGGAATGTCCAACGGACATGTCATTTTGAAATATCGTGATAATCTTGTGATATCCGTGGATAGTCTCGAAGTTTGTTCGCGTCGTATGCTCCAAATTAACCCAGAGAGAACTTGAATTACAGGTAAGGTGGCGGTTGGAGCAGTTGCATTCATGTGCTCCAATGTTGAGAACACGAACGGATTTAGGATAAATGAGCATGTCACTTAACTTAATCCGTGAGACCATTTGAATGGGTCGGACATGCCGTTTCGGGTATTTTGTGTTATCTCGATTATTTTTATACAAAATAAATATAAAAGTTATATTATATTTTTATATTATATTATATTATATTATATATATATTTTATTTTATTGTATTAATA